ATGATGCTGGTGGTGGTGGTGGTGGTCGTGATGGTGATTTGGAGGAGTAATTCGGAGGAGAACGAGGGGAAGAGGGAGGACAGGGTGGAGCGAAGGGAATTTGGAGGGAGAAGAAAGAGGATGATGATGATGATGAGGAGGAGGAGGAGGAGGGAGGCGGTGGAGGTTGTGGAGAACACACGTCGAGTCATCTCGATCTACAAGTGGCGCGCGCGTGCCCAGGATCGCACAACAAACTGCAGCACGTAAGCATCGCAGGAAGCTGATGAGACGAGGAATCTTAAGTCGGATCCGAGGAGGAGGAGGAGGAGAAGGGGGAGGAGGAGGAGGAGGAGGAGGAGGAGGAGGAGGAGGAGGAGGAGGAGGAGCAGGAGGAGCAGGAGGAGGATGAGGAGGAGGAGGAGGAGAAAGGGGAGGAGGGAGGAGATGGGGAAGCAGAGGGCAGCGGATAGAAGGAGGATCGTGAGGATGACCAGGGGGTTGTCGGGAAGGAGGTGCGATGGCGGGATCGCAGTCGAACGAATGTGGGGTTGCCAAACCTTGCGATGTGTGCGCATGTGTGTGTGTGTGTGTCTGTCTGTGTGCGTGTGTGTGGCGCAAAGGGGCGTTCCACACCCTGCGATTGCAGTTGAAGAGCGCTCCGAAGCCAATGCTTGGCCGATGTCTCGAGCGAACGTCAGTCTGATTATTAAGTTGTCAACTTGGTGTCGAGCTTCGATGTTGAGGGGATGCCTCACGCGAAACGGCTAAGTTCTTTAAGACCGAACACATTGAACATTACTGTGTTGTCTGAAGATGTTGTGCTAAAGACTGTTGCAAGAGGCTGTGTTTTTGCACCGTGGCGCCGCGATCTACGTGAGGGGTGCGTCCGATATTCAAGTTTTTGAGGATGTCCCGAGCGAGGCGGCCAGACACATCTCGAACGGGACGGGACCCTCAACCGATCGCCTCGGAGCTCAACTCCCTCGGAGAGGTGCGTGTGATACTATCTGTATATCTATATATAGACATACATGTATATAAAAATAGATTCATGTGTATATACATGTGTATATATCATGTGCGTGTGTGCATTTGCATACATATAAACAGTTGCACATGTACCAATATGTATACACACAACGATACCCATACATGCACAACTCTACGTGTATATATATATATACACCTATAACTGGTGCTGCTGCTGCTGATGCTGCTGATGCTGCTGCCAGTGCTGCTGCTTGGTCCTGGTACAACCTTCCCGACCCTGGAGTGGATAGGACAAGACAGGACAAGGCCATTTTTTGTCCGAACCGATGCCACGGGTTATCGCCTGCGCTCTCTTGGGGAGCGAGTGTGCAATTGCGCCCTCCTGCCTCAGGCTGCCAGTGGTCTCGAGAGGTAACTGGCGATGCATGCTGGTGTGCAGAATGTGATGGGTCTCCAAATTGCAAAATTCTGCACCCTCGTAGGATTCGCGACCCTAAGATAACAATGGACAGACATATTACAAAACTGCCCCGGGGCATAGTTGGAAAGGAGCTCAACACCGAATTTCTCGGGACAGTTTCTGCTTCGACGACGATCGGCCTGGAGCCGTTGGGGAAAAATCCACTACTGTTGCTGTTCTTGCTGCTGGTCCCACCACTGCAACCTTCGCAGCGGCAGCGCAGGCAAGCACGAGGTGGCCGATATCCCGAGCGCGAGGGCCGTGCTCGGGGGAGGCCGGCTACGCACAGTTCGCAGCATAAGCAGAAGCAGCAAGTCGCAGATCAACGCCGCTGGAAGCCACATCGCGACCGCCGCCCCCTGGGTGCACCAAGTCGCGAGCGCGACAGTGCGAGGGTGAAGGGGCATCTCTGGGGCGCGTGGGCCTGCGACGCTAGTTACTGGGAGCCAGGAGTCACAGGGACCAAGTGTGCGTAGCAACGACTGCCCCTCCCTTGGGCTCGCCGCCAATCACCTTGCTGGGAGATTGGAGTCAAGTGGGGAGCGGCGCAACTACCAGGCCAGGGGCTCAGGAGATGCGGTAGTTACTGCTGGGCCACAACAACCGCCTGGAAGACAGCGTCGCGACTGTCTCGGAGTTGGTGCGCAGACCTGTCCGCGGGGAATGCCAAGACGGCCCGTATGGACCATTGGAATCCTCGCAAGCGCAGGCAGCAGCCAGAGTCGCGAGCTCCCACAGCACGGAGCGGCAGCAAGTTCAGACGGACGAATCTTGATTTCATTCGCCGCGGATATGGTCGCACAGTTGGGTAATATTCTTGATTTTGTTCGTGCCCGGCGTCGTGCTGAGATCGTTCAAGAGCTGCTGGGTGACCGGCGGCTCGATCACCACCTGGAGCCACCCGTCCACGGTCCTCTCTCACGCGCTCGTGTCAGCCTCGGGGCGCACGATGTTCAGAAGCTCCTGGAGCGCCGGTGTCGGGAAGGGCTCCTCGCCCGCGGATGCCGGCGCCGCCGCTGCAGCCTCCGGAGGTCGGAGGGCACGCACGACTCCGCCAGCGGCGCCTGCTGCAGCAGCTGCGGGCGGCCGCACGGGTGCGGACTGGGCGAGCACCTCGGCCGAGTCGCCCTCGGTCAACCTTGCGCCGTGCCGAGAACGCCCAGCTTTGGCCCCACGCGTTTCCCGGGCCGCGGCCATCAGCCTCTGACCTGCCACGCTTGCCACGGCGCGTGGCTCCATTGCGCCACGCTTGCTCATCTGCTGCAGCGGGTGCATCCCGTCGTCGTCATCGTCCACGCCGTCGTGGTCGTCCCGATCCTCGGCAGGCGCGCGCCGAGGCCGCCTGCCAGCCTTGCTTGCCTATCTTGTGCTTGCGGTGCTGCGATTCGGCGTTCTCCAGGAACCTGCGCTCGGACATCGATGACTGCGCAGATGTCTCGATGCTCGTGCGTGCCAGCCGGCGCCCTGCGAGCCTGAGGATCTGGAACGGCGGGCTGCAGTCGCCTCTTTCCCGACTGCAGTGGGGTCTTTTTCATGCTCAAGACGTTCATGATGATATTCGTCGTCCTCTCGGTCATGGTTGTCATGAAAGACTCACATGGTGCTGCGGTTTGCTTCTCTACCTCCATCTGCTCGTACTTCTGGGTAGTCTCGCGCCAGCTGTTGAGCTCGCCCCACAAAGAGCCGACATGGATACGGCGGCGGTTCTACCAGGGAAACCCTCGACCGAGCAAGTTCCCTCCAAAGCTTCCTTACCAGTCCATGATAGGTTGGATCTGTTGCAGAGTCTTCGACCACCGTGTTGGGCAGGCCATTGTTGGAGCAGAACCTCGGTGAGTATGTCAATTGTAGCCGTCCTGGCTCTATGGGGCGCCCTTGGGCCATCGCATTAAAGGTGATGGCCCTCTCCCAGAGCCTGGGTTACAGCAGACGAGGGGGGCAACAAACTGTGGCCATTCTAGTAGTGTGGCAACTTAGTTCATATTTGGGCGCTTGCCTGGGGCATATTCAAAGTCAGCGGCGAAAGCGTGGCATTCAAACTCATCATCACCTTTCGGTGGCAACCCACATTGTAGATATTGCATGGGTAGGCCAGCTCTTTCAGATGTGATGTTCACACCTGCAGGAAACAATGTACGTAGCCCCCTTCGTACCAGCATGACCTGCTATATACTCCCCAACAACTAAGTGCGTCGTCGGCATGCGAAACACCTTGGACCAGTTCCTCCGTGTCTATGTGATAAGATTGCCAGGCGAAGGGCCTAACCACATGCAGTTGTGAGTGCAACAGATGTGAGTATCGTCTTCGGTGGAGCTCCTTACGGGACCGCGAAATGCGAACCCTGCCACTTGTGCCTGTGGTGGAGCTCCCTATGGGGCCTCGAAGTGTGTAATGGGTGTGCTGAATTGAGCCGTGTGGGCGCATGCGAACCTTGCCATTGGGGCCTTCGGTGGAGATCCTTATGGGGCCACGAGAGTGTGAGGGGTGTGCCGAACTGCGCCGCGCAGATGCATGTCAACCTTGGCCACCAAACGTATGAGCGGTGTGCCGAAATGCGTCGCGCGGACGCATGCCAACCTTGCCGCTGGGGCTTTCGGCGAAGCCCCCTATGCTACACAGTGGGAGGGCACGGCTTTGCTCACCCATCCTTCCTTGTTTGGTTGATGCGTGGAGCTGAGCAGGAGATCTGTAGGATCTCAGCTGTGAGTAACTCGAAGCGTAATACGTGCGTGATATTGCCATATGCAAGCGGCATGGCGACCGAAAACCACATCGTACAACTACCCCACCCGATGCACCCAGGGCGCTGTGTTTGGAGCCCTGTTGCAAGGAACGTGACGTGGAGTTTGTTTTCAACCTAGACATTCCAGCGTGCCAGGTCTTAGCGTTACCGCGCCTGCGGTAGGTTCGCGTCGTGTCGACCAGCGGCGATCCCGCCGCCAGCGTTCTACGTTGAACGCCGCTGGCGACCCAGAAACAGTCGATGCTGAACGATCTGATGTTTCAGAAACTGCCGCCCGTTCAAGGTTGAGCGATCCCCACGGTGTCAGAAACCAACGCCGAAGTCGGCACGACACGAGCATGTCGTATTTTTTGGGCTTTGCCCAGGCACCAGGAACCGCACTCAAGTGAAGTTGTGGTGTACAGCATCCCCGTCTGGTTATTATGTGGCTCACAGCTCCTCCTCAGTATCCGCTTGAAGTGTCCAGACGGCGCGCTCTCGGACACTGCACATCATATTGGGCCGGTTGGGAGATTGTGTGCTCCAGTTGTTGAAGGTATTTATTCCAGAATGCAGAGTGGCATGCACGATGTAACCTTGCAGCTCTGGTTTTGCTGCTCGTTGCACCACTCGAAGGAGAACCAGATCCCCAGCACGCATCCGACATTCCTAAGTTAAGTGTGTCGATATGTAGAGGCTTGATGAAGCCTCGTTGGGACACATTTCCAATACAATCGGGCGATGCGTCGACAGAGTTCGTCCGCTGATCCCGTAACGGAGATCCGACAGTATGTGCATGCGCCGCGCAGCACTTGGTACCCTCGTCTGTGCCGCAACTGCAACCTCTGCTGCCATTCAGTGTAGGGAATGGTTGGGAGTATTTCGGTGGCACGCTGATGCGCCTCCTCCATGGATAGGAAAGGTATGGTTGGAAGAATACGGGAATTGGTAAGTTGAACAACCCCCGAGTTGAGCAAGGCATCTGGGGGTGAGCTGCTGATCTCGCATTTGGAAGGCGCTGCAAGGGGAACAGCTTTAGAAGTCGCTCGGACTCCGGTCGACAATTTCTGTTTCCGGTGCACGCCCCCCGCGTGTTCATGAGGGCGCTTGGCTGCGATCAGGTCTGGTTACCTCACGTCGCTATTACCCCTCAGTCCCGTAAAACAGTAAATCGTATAATGACGGCCAGTGTGCTGGAATATGGCATGAGGACCGTGCACGTCAGCAGTGCACGCGCTATCACACACACACACACATAAGCACACCACAATAGTGCAGCGCGCGTGGCGGAGGATGTTATAGGTGAGGCTGGCGATGTTCGAGTGGATCTCAAGCTTCATTGTGGCGATGTTCTCGCCTGGCGGAGCAGAAAGGGAGGCACTGATCGTTCTGACGATGTCTGCTGCTGCTGCTGCTGCTGCTGCTGCTGCTACTGCCCGCGTCTGCAGCAAGGCGCGCACCGCCGCCCACCTGCGCCCATCTTCGCTTCAGCCCCCGACGCACCCGCTAGACCCCGCGGGCTCTCAGAGATTCACGACTCCTCTCGGGTCGGGCGAAAGGGGGGATGGCACAGGGGGGGGGTTGAGAATCAGCTCACGTAGCTGATTTTCCCGGCGCCTCCCGGCGCCGGAGGCGCCCACGTATCGAGGCATGGGCCCTTCGGTGAGGCCGAAACCAGCTGCACGCAGCAAATTTCGTACCCCCCCCTTTCCCAATCCCCCCCCTTTCGTCCGGCCCGATCCTCCTCATCCGATTTTGTCCTCATCTTCGCTTCAGCCCCCAACGCGCCCGCTAGACCCCGCGGGCTCTCCGATTTTGTCCTCATCCTCATCCGATGTTGTCCTCTTCCTCCTCCTCCTCCTCCTCCTCCTCCGATGTTGTCCTCTTCCTCATCCGATGTTGTCCTCGTCCTGCCCTCAGCCAGGCTTCCGCCCGCGCCCGCCGTGGAGGGCGCGCCGCAGCCCCGCGCCGCCGCGCCCCGCCGAGGCTGCGGCAAGAGCGTGCGCGTGCCGCTCCTCCTGCTGAAGGCCCCCCCCCCCCACTGCCGTGGCGCCGGCCCGAAGCAGCCGGCAGGCCTCGGCGATCGGGCCGGACGAGCATTTGCACGAACGAGATGGACACGGAAGGAATAGGTACGATGCCCAACAGCAGTTTCCGTTCATTTTGAACAGGACTCGCTGTCCGCGCCGCCGCGGCCTGTGTCCATCTGAGACAGAAGGCCGCCAGCGGCCGCTGTTGGTTCGGGACAACATTTGCTGTTGGGCATTGTGCCCATTGTTTCCGTGCCCATTTCGGGCGTCCAAAGAGCAGAGGGGGGTCCCAGATCTTCCACGCTCCCATGTTCCAGGCCGGGTCGGGCTCCTGTCCAGGGCGTACCTTTTCCTGCACTTCGACTTCGGCACCGCCTGATCCCAGGGCTTTGCCCTCTCTCGGCCTCTTGACGTGAGGCCCCGCCTTCTTTTGCCCCCCCCCCCTCTGCTAATTAAAGCTGTGCGCGGCCCGCTTAGCTTCTATCGGGAGAGTCGGGCCGGGCGAAAGGGGGGGATTGGGAAAGGGGGGGTTACGAAATTTGCTACATGCAGCTGGTTTCGGCCTCACCGAGGGGCCCATTCCTCGATACATGGGCGCCTCCCGGCGCCGGGAGGCGCCGGGAAAATCAGCTACGTGAGCTGATTCTCAAACCCCCCCTTTGCTATCCCCCCCTTTCGCCCGACCCGAGAGAGGCTCGCTCTCGACCCGCGGATCAAACAAAGTTTCAGGCCGGGCCTTCGTGTTCGATGTCGTCCTCTAGGGCCTGTTGTCCGGCCTCGGGGCCGTCCGCAAAGGGTCTGGGACGGAAGCCACCCCCTGGGAAGGGGTCCGCCCTCTGGGAAGGACGTCCCCTCGAGCCTTCTGCTGCGAGGTGCAGGGCCACGATCGTTTCGCTTCCGATCGTGGTCGCCCGTTGCTGCTCGGTCGCCCTGGGTCAAAAAGAGCATCGTCACTGCGGCTTCAGGCCTCCAGGCGTGCGGGCAGCAGCAGGCTCGAAGATCGGGTCGGGCGAGAGGGGGTCGATGGGGAAGGAGAGGGGGGGCACGACATCTGCTCCGTCCAGATGGTTTCGGCACCGCCGCGCACAGGGTCGCCTCTGGCGCCGGGAGGCGCCAGGAAAGCTAGCTACATGAGCTGCCTCAAATTTTCCCGTTCCCAGCCCACCCTATTGTCGCCCGACCCGGGAGGAGGAGAAGGAGGAGGAGGAGGAAGAGGAGGAGGGGGAGGAGACGGAAGAGGAGGATCTGAGCTGATGAGAACCCACACTGTTGAGATGCAAGTGTGCTCAACAGCGCTGACGTAAGGTTTACATTTCCTTCGCGACCCGTCTCACGAGTCCATTGCAGACCATGAATGCTTCATCGCACATGCGTTCATTATCCTGTGCATGTGCGTTGAGCGTTTCCCAACCCTCCTGCGTTGGGTTCTCGTTTTGAGTGGAGCGCTGTGATCGCGTCTCCTCCGACCGCCTCCCTCCACCTCTTCCTCCCTCCTACCTGCCTGCTACCCTGCCTCCTACCTGCCGCCTGCCCTGCCTCCTACCTGCCTGCTACCTTGCCTCATCGCCATCCCTGGGGGGGGCTGCCATGTGCGAAACTGTCGCTGATTTCGAGAACTGCTGGGGTGTCCCACGGAGTGACGCCCCACAGCAGATTCAGATTCGACCTCGCCATCCCTGGGGGGCTGCGATCTGCGAATCTCTTGCTGATTTCGAGGGCTGCTGGGGGGTCCAGCAGAGTGACGCCCTACGCCGATCCAGATTAGACCTCGCCATCCCTGGGTGGTCGCGATCTGCGAATCTGTCGCCACTTTCGAGGGCTTCTGGGGGTTCCAGCGGGGTGACGCCCCACGGCAGATTCAGATTAGACCTCGCCATCCCTGGGGCGGCTGCGATCTGCGAATCTGTCGCTGATTTCGCGGGCTGCTGGGGTGTCCTGCGGAGCGACGCCCCAAGGCAAATTTAGATGGGTGTTGAGATCTGCTAAACTGTCGCCACGTTTGAGGGCTACTGAGGGCTCCAGCGGAGTGACGCCCTACGCAGATTCATATTAGACCTCGCAATCCCTGGGTGGCTGCGATCTGCGAAACTGTTGCCCTGTTGGAGGGCTGTTGGGTGGTCCAGCGGAGTGACGCCCCACGGCGTATTCTGATTAGACCTCGCCATCGTTTGGGGGCTGCGATTTGCTGAACTGTCGTCACTTTCGAGGACTGCTAGGGGGTCCAGCGGAATGACGCCCCACGGCAGATTCAGATTAGAGCTCTCCATCCCTGGGGGGGCTGCGACCGGCGAAATTGTCGCCACTTTCTTGGAGGGTTGCTTGGGGTCCAGCGGGGTGACGCCCTGTGTACCTAGATTCAGATTCGACCTCGCCTTCCGTCGGGGGGGTGCTGCGATCTGCTAAACTGTCGCCACGTTTGAGGGCTACTGAGGGGTCCCGCGGAGTGACGCCCCACTCAGATTCAGATTCGACCTCACCATCCCTGGGGGGCTGCGATCTGCGAATCTCTTGCTGATTTCGAGGGCTGCTGGGGTGTCAGCAGAGTGACGCCCTACGCCGATCCAGATTAGACCTCGCCATCCCTGGGTGGTCGCGATCTGCGAATCTGTCGCCACTTTTGAGGGCTGCTGGGGGGTCCAGCGGAGTGAGGCCCTACGCAGATTCAAATTAGACCTCGCCATCACTGGGGGGGCTGCGATCCATCCCTGGGGCCTGGGGGGCTGCGATCCGCGACATTGTCGCCACTTCCGAGGGCTACGGAGGGGTCCAGCGGAGTGACGCCCCACGCGGGTTCGGATTGGACCTCGCCATCCCTCGGGGGGCTGCGAATTGTGAATTTGTCGCCACTTTCGAGGGCTGCTGGGGGGTCCAGCATAGTGACGTCCCACGCGGGCGTAGATTAGCTTTGATGTTTTTTCCCGGGGGCCGCCGAAAGACTTGGCGGCCCGCCAGTGGTAGCTCCTGCGCTGCAAGGTGCAGGAAGGAAGCGGCGGATCTGGCGGTTGAGCTCGGCCTCGCTCGCTTCTTGCACGATCCATGATCAGCTGATCCTTTGGAGCGCCGCGCTGCTTGTCCAGCGTGCCACTGGGAAATGACCGCCGCCCTCTTTCTTCATCCTGCCTCTTTCGTTGTCGTCCTCTTCCTACTTAGGCCGTCTCACTGCTGCTTTCGCGTGAACTTTTCGGCCCCTCTTCCATCCTGTTCCTATCCCTCGTTCCCACCCCCCATTTCCTCCTCGAGTCTGGGGCCTCAGTCCTTGTTTGTTTGCTGTCCTGTGAGTCGCGCAACACGCGCGTTCCCCATATAGGTTGCACAACCTATGACAGATCCTGCGATGTCATGCGGCAGGCTATTCTGGACCAGCTCCTCTTGTCACCAGGTGCAGATGGGTCGACGTCGCAGGGCAGTTCAGCAGAGTGCTTCTGAAGGACCCGCGCGCTCTGTGCGTTGCTCTGTCCCACACCACTCGGTCCCCCAGGTCACGGATGCATGCGGTTTCCGTTGGTTCAGATATGCTGACGTAATGTGCAGTCTCGTTTCAAAAACGCAAGCGTTTCTTAAACGTAGCGCCGTCCTCACGTTAGCGTTTCTTAAACGTTCGAAGTACGCAGCCAGACTCATTGGAGCATGGCTCGCCGTGCCCCGTTCGAATCCGATGCGCCTCAGGGCGGTGCTGAGCGATGCCAGGCAGCAGCGCGCGCTCAACGAGGTGAGGATTCGGGTGCAAGCCTGGCGGGTGGTAATACGGGGACCCAAAATGGAGGTGAAAACAAAGGCCCTAAAGGGATCCTTTAGGGCCCGTTTCGGGCACCAGCTTGCTCCAAAAGGGGCCCTGAAGGGCCCCTTTCAAGCCCACCAGCCATTGGGTCACCTCCATGACATGGTGTTCGCCGTCGTTTTCGTTTTCCCCGTCGTCGACGGCGCCGTCGTCGTCTCATCTGTCCTCGCCTGTCGTCGTCGTCGTCGTCGTCGCCGTCGTCGTCGGCGGCGGCGGCGGCGTGTGCGCGGCGAGGCCGTGGCCAAGCAGCCCCCTGGGACCCCGTTCCTAGTCGCCAGCGCGCAGCCGCAGCCGGCCTCCTGCCTGGCACTCGCGAGGCTGCTCTGCGCGAATTGTCTCGGGCGACGACGTCGACGGACGACCGACGGCGACGACGGAAACGACGACGGAAACGACGACGACGGAAACGACCACGACGACGACGACGACGACGACGACGACGACGACGACGACGACGACGACGACGACGACGACGACGACGACGACGACGACGACGACTGGCGACGACCAGGGACGCACGGTGACGACGAGGAGGACGGCGGAGGCGGCGACGACGTCTATTTGGATTTGGCTCTGTGTTTCTGGAGGTCCTCGTCGCCACGACTGGGCGCGTCTCGGAAATTTGGACGGGATGGACCGATGTTTTACGGATTTGGGGCTGCAGGGGCAACGCCGACGGCTGCCTCGTTGGGTGGTTGTATCATATTATGTGGGCCTCCAGGGGCGCCCTGGTGGCCACGCCTGGATTCGCCTTGAAATTCTGGTCGCAGCGTACACCCGGACAGGTCAGGGTGCCGACCTTTGAATAGCGGTGACGACGACGGCGGCGGGGGCGACGGCGACGGCGGCGACGACGACGTCGATTCAGAGATTCCAGGCGTTCCTCAAACTTCTCATCACCACTGATGGACGGGGCTCGAAAAGCTGGCCGGGACGGCCTTGGAATGGGTCTTGTGGCCGATGTAGGACAGAGTTCAGCAACATCCGAAGACGACGACCGGATTGGCGACGACTTTGGAATTTCGTTCTTCTTTGACGTTGGCGCCCTCATGGCCACGGCTGGATTCGCTCGGAGTTCCTGGTCTGAACGCAGCCGCGGACAGGTTCTGTTCGGGTGCCGTGCAGTCCCCAGTAGCTTCTGTACAGTCCCCATGTCGTATTAAGTAGGTCCACTGCAGTTCCCATGCAGTCGCTAGTAGGCTCTGCAGAGCTCCTGTAGTCGCCAGTAGCTTCCAGGCAGCTCACCATGCAGTTTCATGCAGACCTCCCAGACCTCAGGCGGACCGATTTTCATCCGCGGCATGGAGAACTCTCGGGCCTTGGCGAAGTCTTCGGGATCGCTACCTGACGGTACCAGGGGCCGATAGACGGTCCAAGGACGTCGAACAAATTGCGAAACATGTCCAGCTCGATCGTCTCAAGTCGCCGAAGCGCCCATTACCCGTCCATCTGCAACATTGTTCGCAAGTGGAGGACCTGTTCCAAGACCCAGGATGAGAAAAATCAATCAGCAGGGGAAAGATGAGGGAGAGCAGATGGGAACGGAGGGTGGAAGGAGGTGGAAGGAACACATGGTTGGGATCGGTAGGACACGCGACACGCACTGTGAATGTACTCCTCCCCATCGCTTGCGGCAATTGCGGATAACAGTGAGGGGTGGGTGGAGAAGGGGAGCATGAGGAAGGGGAAAAAGGAAATACGCTTGAGGACGAGGTGGGCGAGGAGGAGGAGGAGGAGGAGGAGGACGAGGTGCAGGGCATAAAAGGGACAGCAAAGCCGCCCAGGGCATGAAACGGAAGGACGAGGGGTGGGCTGGTTGGCCACGGGCGGCTTTTCCTTTTTCTTCATGCCCTGCTCCTCGCCCCCCTCCTCGTCCTCCTCATCCTCATGCGGCCTCCTCACTGCCATCCCACTTCCTGCCTCTCCTCTTCAATGTCTTCACTACTCGTGCAGTTGTAAATTGGGACAGGGGCGTCTCCATGGTTCGGATGTTGGGTTTCGAGACTTTGTAGAATCGAGACTCTTCGACTTGGTTGGGTTCTCTGCCTCAACCGCGGGGGGGGCTAGTATGTTGCAACGCATGTCTGCATCACGCTTCAAGTGAGTACGCAACTTGAACAAGTGAATATTGATATCCTGGCAGTGTTGACCCAGCGTTTGGCAGTGCATGCCCCACAAAGTTTCTGTCATCAGGATGCCAGTGAAGATTGTGAGCGTCTAGAGGTCTGCGCCTCTGGCTCTCGAGGCTTCTGGGGTTCAGGATAAGGGCCCATCCAATACAATACCAGCACTCCTGGCGCGATGTTTGTTCCTTGGGAAGTTGAATCGAGCATCGGCCATGGCACGTCCTTCATCGTAATATGGCCTACTGGATATGCCGAACCAGGGCAAAGGAGGTGCACAGTCAGGCTTGTCCAGTTTTAAACTTGCTTATTCAATTGAACGCCCCCGAGGGGGCAGACCCAGCCGCCCCTCGTTTTTGGACGCGTGGAAACTTTGGGAGGCTTGGTGGAGGAAGAGGAGGGCAATTGAAGGGGTCCCAGAGGGTGAAGGGGGGGGGGTCCAACACGGCCCCAGAGCTTTCACTTCAACGCCACTGCGGGTGCAGACCGCCGCCTCACATATGTGGACACGTGGACACTTTGGGAGGCTTGGTGGAGGAAGAGGAGGGCAATTGAAATTGCCCCAGAGGGCGAGAGTGAGGTAAAAGACGGCCTTAGAGGGCCCCAAAAACGCCCAAAGCTACATAAGAGTGCCCCAAGAAGAGGCTCCGAAGACGGCCTCAAAGGGCACCCAAACGGCGGACGAAACCGAAGAGACATACGGAGAGGTAAAAGGGAGATACGGGAGTCAGTTTTGGGGCGCAACAGAAGGCCTTCCAGAGACTCCCTGGTCGCGCCCAAGACGGCTTAAGAGAGATCAGAAAGGGCGGCCAGACAGCCCAAGATGGGACCGAGAGGCCTCCAGGACGACTCGAACGGCCGGAGGGGCCCCACGAGTGCCAGAAGCCCCAGAGCTTATTGAGCCCGCAGAGCAGGTGTTACGGCGGGCCCCCAGGGGGCAGCACGCACGCAGATCTTGCAATCATCGGGTGTCAGGGGTACTGCTTTGACGAGGGTCGGTGCCAATCAATGCAATTGTTCTTCTGGACGTATTTGCGCCCCTTGGGGGTAGGCGGTCTTGGAGGCCAGCTGAGGGCCGTTTGGGGCCCATGGGGTCCCGAATTGAGGCTCCAAGGAGCCGTCTCGGGGGCCAGCTGAGCGCACAACATTCACGAACTGCGTGAGTGGTGTGCCGAATTCAGCTTCCCATCAACATGGAAGAGCAATTCATTTAGATGTTCATGTCTTCCAGTAGCCTCGAGGCCCACGTCACTAGTTCCTCTTTATGTGCCCCAGGAGCCAGGAGCCTGAGAACGCAGATCTCTCGTATCTTACGTGACCCAGGAGACACTGGGGCAGAAGTGCGTGCGGTGTGTGCCTAATCGAGGTCGATGCTTTGGTGGCCCCGGGGGGGTCAAATCACTCGTAATGGTTCGTGTCCCAGGAGAGCATGGGGCAGGAAATGTGTGAGGGGTGTGCCGAATCAAGGCGGTCGTAGCCTTGAGGTCGCAGGTCACTATTATTTTCACCTGCCGCAGGACACCAAAGGTGCAGAGTGCGCGAAGCCCCTCTTATCATGCTACGCAAGCTGTTACATTATCCTCCATCTCATTATCACCATCATCGTCAGCAGCAGCATCATTGTCACCATCATTACCATCATCATCACCATCATCATCCGTAGCCAGTTTGGCGCAAGGCGCTGTGACTCACAGGCCGCCGCCGTCGCCCGCAGGGTCAAACAACTGAGCGCCCTGCACACCCGAACCCGCCATGGCCGAGGGGGGCGGCGTCGGCTGCTTCGGGAGGGCCACTGCGGCATGCTGCTGCGTGCGGGTGATGGCTCGGGACGAGGCGCTCGAGGCCATGCTCGGCCCGACGACGGAGCCGTCGGGGCCGTCTCTCTTCTCTCGCCTCTGCTGGTGTCAGTGCAGTCCGGTGGCGCGGCAGCCCCCGAACCTGGAGGCCTTCCCAGATCTGGACACCGTCGTCAGCGGCGTGTCCCTGCAGAAGGGCGAGCACATCACCGCGGGCTCCCTGCAGACCATGCGGGCGGGGAGATGGGATGCGGCCACGCGGACGGTCACTACCGACGTGTTCGGCGGGTTCTGGATGAGGGAGAATACTGGCACATGGACGGAGCCTGCGGGAAGCATCCTGTGGTATTCTTTAATGTTTCTGGCTCGGGCCGCCTCGTATCGGTACGACGTGGTCTTCTCCGAAGACCTGCAGAGCGCAGATATCTGGATCAAGTGCAATCCTCTGTTCTGCGTGCCCTGCCTGCCTCCGTGCTGCACAGTCCCGCGCTGCATCTCAAAGCAGACTATGGTTCAGAGCGATGATTCGATTAAGGGTGACCACTGGCTCAGAATGTCGGGAAGCTTCGGCAAGGAGCCAACATTCTTTTACGATTTGTTTGTCGTATACGACAGCAGCGGGACGCCTACCCGCTTCGCAGATCAGGTGCCTGCGTCAGCTCCAGCGCAGGTGCAGATTTCCTTCTAGTGGCCAAGCTGAAGGTGACGCGGCGCCGCGGTGACGTCTGAGGGCGCGGCAGCTGTGACTAGGGCAGGTTTAATCAGAACGCTACTTCGACGGACGTCGGCTCAGGGATAGCCCCGCACCGGCCCACGATATCCTGAGGGAAGCAATTCCCAGCGCATGCGCCCAGAGCTTCAGACAGGAGGACGCCGACTATCCAGACACACAGATCTTGGCCATGCTTACGCTGGGCCCGGGACCGGTGTAAGTGGAAAGTTGGTGCTCCCCGAAGAGACGTGTATAGAGAGGAACAAAGCAGGGGTGGCTCGACGCGAGCATATCCGTTTTTCCTGAGCGCACGTCTGACTTCCGCCTCTCGGGGCTGCGTCGCTATGCAGTCTACCTGCCCGTGCCCTGCTCCCGCTCCCCCCTCCTCCTCCTCGTTCGTTTCTCTTCCTCCTTCTGCTCTCCTCGTTCTCGTCCTCCTCTATCTGTGCGTCTCCACTTTTTGTCAGGGCGGGCCCAGAGTCATCATCACCATCATCATCATCATCATCACCATCATCACCTGCATCATCATCATCATCATCATCATCATCATCATCATCATCATCAGCAGCAGCAGCAGCATCATCATCATCATCATCATCGACACCAGCATCATTATCGTCATCACCACCGTAATCAGCAGCATCGTTAACAGCATCACCATCATCACCATCGTCGTCAACATCATTCTCATTAGTCATCAGCATCATTAGCATAACCATCATTATCATCACCATCAACATACCATCAGCACCCACATCATGACCAGCAGCAGCAAGATCATCGCCAACGTCTTCATCATCATATTCATCATCCTCATCATCACCCCCATCAGTTACCATCATCATGCTCGTTATCACCATTTTAGTCATAATTACCATCATCAAAATCATCAGATTCGCCATTATCATCGTCATCATCGTCAGCATCATCATCGTGCTTTGCATCATCATCCCAATCATCGTCGTCATTATCGTCATCAGTATCATCGCCATCATCATCGTCATCATCATCGTCATCACCAGCATCATCAGCGTCATTATCCATCATCGTCATTCATCATTCAGGACCAGCATCATCAGTATAAGCATCTCCACCATCATCATGATCATCACCACCATCATCAGCATAATCATCACCAGCATCATCGTCATCATCAGTATCCTCACCATCATCGTCATCATCGTCATCATCGTCATCACCACCATCATCATCACCACCAGTAGCAGCATCATCATCACCATAAGCATCATCATCGTCATCATCATCATCATCATCATCTTCGTCATCACCATCACCGTCACCATCATCATCAACATCATCATCATCACCACCATCATCTCATCAACGATCTACGGATGTTACGACACGGCCAGGGGCCGCACGGGGGACCCGTCGAATTCAATCGCTTCGCTCATTCCGCCGGCCCAATTTGTGTCACTGGAGGAGGAGGAGGAGGAGGGGGAGGAGGAGGAGGAAGGGGAAGATGGGAGGATGAGGATGAGGCCTCTCGATGGCTTCTTGGGGCCTCTCGGCAGCCTCTTGGCGGTACTTTCAGGGCCTCCTGAAGCCTCTTAGGAGCATCTTGGGGGGCCTCTTGGAGGGGTCTTTCACGCCTCCGGGGACCTCTTGGGGGCCTCCTGCTGGCTGTCTCGAGGGCCATCTTTCGGGGACGGCTTCGACGTGTCGGTGTGGATTCCCCCTCTTGGGGCCCTCTTGCGAGTCTCTGGGGCCCTCTCGGGAGGCGTCCTGGGCCGTCTTGGGGTCCTCTTGAGCCGTCTTGGAAGCCTCTTGGTCTGTCTTGGGGCGATCTTGGGGGCCTCCTGGGCCGTCCCGAAAAGGCAGTGACGCTAACATCCCTCCCAAACTTACAGAAAATCAAAGCATGTTAGCCTCTGGGGGCCCTCTTGGGGGCTGCCTTGAGGCCTCTTGGGATTGTTTTCGGGCCAACATGTGGCCTGCCACCTCTTGACTCCGACTTTTTCGGAGCTCCCTTGAAGTCCCTTGGGCCGCCCCTGGGGCGGGCGGCGGGCGATCCTGAGGGCCCCGAAGACTGCCCCCGGGAGTTCTGGCATCCGTGACCCCTTCCTGTCCAGGAACTTGCCAGAGTACTTTTCTCAGGAGGGAAAAAACACACAGACACAATTAATCGTCAGCTCTCCAGAAAATATAGGAAAATATGGGAATTGGGGGGGAAGACAACCCAGAAAATATGGGAAAATATGGGGAAGCCTGTTATTTGTGTGTATTTATGTGTGTGTCCCAGGGCCCCTTCATTTTCGTCCGAGGACCCCCAGGGGCCGCCGCGCGCGCGCGAACTAGAAGTACAGTTCACCCGTTACCGGAGATCTCAGCGCTCCATTTCGTTACACAGAGTTGGGTGCATTTCTTGGTCTGCTCTGGTACCAAGATCCCGGACGTTTTCTCCAGCACTCGAGCACCTGGAGCTTTGGACCTCCCACGGGCCGATTCTCACCCCGAGCCTTTTTGTTGGCAGCCCTGGGGCATGGCAAAAAAGCTGTCAAACTGCCTCCGTCGTGATGGCTTCATACCGCGAGCGAGCCTGGGTAGTGCTTTCATCTCGAGGAAAGCACGTTCTTCCTGCTCCTCTTCTTCCCCCTTGCCCCCCCCCTATTTCTGGCAACTGACCAGGGTAGGCTCCCAGGCACTCCTGCATCCGCCCCCTTTTCCCGACGGTTATGAAGACGCCTCGGGGTGGGCGCCTTCGCTTGGCTTTGCCGCCAGACGCATCTGGTCGGTCACGGAGCGAGCTCTCTCTGACGGCGCACGACTTGCCGCTTTCAAGGCCGCGTGGGGTCACTGCGCCATGAGAGAAAGAACGGCATGAACAATAACTTCCGGAGGTCCACGCTGATGGGCTCGTTTTCCACCACCACTACCGCAAGTTGGAACCCCCTCCCCCTCCTACTTATGGTGGTGGTGGTGGAAAGCAGGCCCGCCAACCGCGGATCTCCTGCGTCGGCGCTGGACCCCCTGGGCCGGGCCTCCAGCGCCGCCCCCGCGCGGAGCGCGCCGGGCAGGGGCCCCTCCGCGCCGAGCCGAGGCATCGGCGCGGACCTCCAAGATTTCCTCCCTCGCGCCGTCTCTGCTCCTCCACTCGGCGGCGAGCGAGGGGGGGGGGCGGGAGGAAGGGGAAGCCCTCTCGGAGGGAAGGGCGGCCCTTCTCGGAAGCCCTCCGTGCGCTCCCGCGGGAGCTCTCCGTGCGCTCGGGGACGGCTCCTGGGGAGCTTCTCTGGAGGCCAGGGGGCTCCCGAGCCTTGTGAGGAGGCCCGCCCCTCCTCGCTTTCCCCCCGCCCCTCGCTCGCCGCCGATCCCGAGGCCCCCCCGAAGGACCCCGCGCCCGCGACAGAAATGTTGGCCGTCGGCCAGTGCCTCTCCAGCTGCAGGCTAGCTCTACATTTTCTGTCGGGCGTGTCCCCCTGCAGGGGGATTCTCGACGAAAAATAAAAGATACCCCCCAAATAGTAGAACAAATCTGACAATAATAGTCTGGGGACGATTTTGTGAGTATTTTTTAAACCTTTTTGGGGCATTTTGGGGGTATTTTTTAATTTTTCGTCGAAGATCCCCCTGTAGGGGGACAGGCCCGACCTAAGGCTAGCTCTACATCCGTGTTGCTCCTCTGGCTGCTCCGATTCCAGCATGTGCTCGATGCGCCCCGGCAGCATGTAGGCAAACGACTCGTAGAGACGACGAATGGGCGAGAGTTGCCTTCTGCCTTGGCGCGAACCTACCCTGACGGGTACAGTCAACCCGCAGAGCAAGGATGGGCAACCTTTCGAAGGGTACCCTTGCATCCTTGCCTCCTCGGTCCATCCTTCGCCGCTTTCGCTGGCAGCGCCCCGCTCGAAAAGCTTCGTAATGGGCGTCCAAGGCCCTTGCATCCTTATCGCGCACCCACACTATACGGGTTGACTGTAATCGGAGGCTTGGGCATGCAGGATGCCTCTATCGATTCCTCCTGACAGGTTTCGCATGACCATCCCGGGGTCGTTGGGGAAGCACCGCTACACTGTTTGTAGCGTAGCGCGGGCGTATCGTTGGGTCGGTATTAGGGGAACAAAAAGTGTCATAAACATAAAAACTCGGAGGTCCGCGCGGATTTCTCGGATCCGCGCTGGACCCCCCTCTCTGGCGCGCGGAGCGCGCCAGGGGCGGCGCTGGAGGCGCCGCCAGGTGGGTCCAGCGCGGACCCGAGAAATCCGCGCGGACCTCCGAGTTTTTATGTCTGTGTCGCTTTTTGTTCCCCTAGATATTTCGCTGCCTCTTTTGGGATTCAGGTTGACCGCGGTTGAAGCGCACCCGCGCCCGCGAAGGTAGGACGCCTCCCGGGACGCGCCCCCGGGGGGGGGAAGGAGGAGAGAGACAGAGGAGAGGAGGAGGAGGAGGAGGAGGAGAGGAGGAGGGGAGAGGAAGGAGGTCCGCGGCCCGGCCGGGCCGCACGGCCGGCGGCCGGGCCGCCCGGGCGCCGCGTATACCGCGCGCGGGGCGCGGTGGCCACGGGCGGCTGCAACGCCACCGAGACGTCGGGCGTCTCGACAGAAATCGAGGCGGAGGTTTTTTCGTGCTTTTGGCCTCTCGGGGCCCTCGCCGGGCCTCGGGAGCTTCAAGATAACGGCTCGGGGTGAACAGCCGGTGCCGGGGAAGTGGTCCGGAGGTGGGGGGCCCGCGTCTCGAAGAAGTGGAGACGTCGGCTGTCTGGGATGGCCCCTGCTTCAAGAGACGGGGGTCAATGCAAAAGGAGGTCCGTCAGAGCGCCGGATCTTGCAGGATCCTGCAGAGCCAGGGTTGCGCCGACCCAGGCTTGGGTGCAGGATCCTGCAGGATCTTGCAGGACCCCGCAAGGCCTGACTGGCCTGGGCTTGGACTGACCCGGGGTCGGTATGGATCCCCGGCTGGTGGGCTCGAGGGCGGCCGGGACCTGGGGGGACAGTGCCGTTTTATTAATGCATGCTCCGCGTGCGGATCATGTACCAAGAATGCACGGATTCAGCATTCAAAACAGCGATGAGGTCATGCATAATTGTATTCACAAACTCATCATGCATTAAACATTCTATATATATATATATATATATATATATGTTTCAAATCCTATGTCTTAAAGACTGCCCGGGAGGCTCCAGGATCCACGAGACCCAGCCTCCCAAGAGGTCGGGGAGCGCGGCCTGGTGGCCTTTCTGCTCCGCCGCGCACCCGCGGGGGGCCGGGAGACGGGGCGCCGCGCCAGGCGCGCCGCGGGCGAGCTGGGCGAGGAGCTCGGCGCCACGGTCGGGCGCCCCCCGGCCGCGGCTCCCCGCCGCGGGCTCGGACCCCCGAGCTCGACGCCTCGGGGGGGGGGATCGGGGATCGAGGGCCGAGGTTTCTGCACGTGCTCGGTGCGTC